CTGCTGCCTGGACCTGAGGAGGAGGAAGAGGGGCAGATGAACAGAGGCCAAGAAGAGAAAGAGAGGAGACCCCCCTCGCTCTCCTGCCCTCCCTCCCTCCCTTCATCCACCCATCTCTAGATCATCCACATCTCTCTCTTTTCTCTTCTATCTTCGGTCCACCCATCCATCCATATCTATCTATCTATCTATCTGTCTATCTATTATCTTTGGATCATCCATCCATCCGATTATCTGTCTGTCTGTCTAATCTATCTTTTGATCATTATCTATCTATCTATCTATCTATCTATCTATCTATCTATCTATCTATCTATCTATATCTATTCTATGAATCTATGTATCTTTATCATTATCCATCCATCCATCCATCCACCCATCCCTCTATCCATCCATCCATCCACCCATCCCTCTATCTATCTATCTATCTATCTATCTATCTATCTATCTATCTATCTATCTATCTATCTTTGGATCATCCATCCATCCATATCTATCCATCCATATTCTTTCATCTATCTATCTTCTTATCTCTATCATCCATCCATCCTCCATCCCTATCTATCATCTATCTCTATATCATGTATCCATCCACCCATCTCTAGTTTTCTGTATATCATCCATCCATCCATCTCTCTCTCTCTCAACCATTTGTTTGTTTATATTTATAGGTAATCCTCAATATTTATAAGTAGTCCTCAACCATGGCCGAACCCAAAATTTCCGTTAACCAAGACAGCTAAGTGAGTTTTGCCCCATTTTACAGCCTCTCGTGCCAGAGCTGTTGAATTAATCACTGTAGGTCTTAAGCTAGTAAAACCCATTTATTGAGTGAATCTGGCTTCCCCGTGGATTTTGCTTGACGGAAGGGCACAAAATGGGATCATGTGACCCCTGGGGGGGACCCTGCGACTGTCATAACTACGAACCAGTTGCCAAGGGCCTGAATTTTGATCACAGGACCACGGGGATGCTGCAATGGCCCCAAGTGTGAAAGGTGGTTATGTCACTTTTT